CAAGGGGGGGGTTTAGGGGAAGTCACTGTAGGGCATGGAGAAGGGGTAAAGGGGGGAGTAACGGGTGTCGTGCCAGAGGAGCTTCTTCTCCAAGAAGGTGATGGTGTCCAACGTCAGCACCAACGTCTCGTGCTTCAACATGCTGTGGACATTGAGACCTGGGGGGGGTCACGAGACAAGGGGGGGGCTCATTAGATTTGTTTGGGGGGGGGCATCAAGTTTTGGAGGGGGGGGACACACCGAGAAGGCCACGGAGCTCTCACCCAACGCCGGGATGAGGTTGATGGTTTTCAAAGCGGTGACGGCCTTTTCCATGTTCTCCGGCGTCTCGTTGCTGGAGGGAAATGGGGGAAATGAGGGGGGGGGAGGACACCCCTAGAATCCCAGAATCAATCTTCTAGGTTGGAAGGGACCTTAAAGATCATCTTGGCCAACCGTCAACCTAATTTTGACCAAAATAAAGCCCCACACAACAAACAAGGAGCAGCATCACTAAACCAGACCTCCCAGCACTACATCAACCCGGCTTTTGAACACCTCCAGGGATGGGGCCTCCACCCCCTCCCTGGGCAGCCCATTCCAGTGTCTGATGACCCTTTCAGTGACAAAATTTGTCCTAATATCCAACCTGAACCTCCCCTGGGGCAACTTGAGGCCATTTCCTCTTGTCCTGTCGCCTGGGACTTGAGAAAAGAGACCGACCGAAAAGAGGTCTCCCCTCAGCCTCCTCTTCTCCAGGCTGAACCCCCCCAGCTCCCTCAGCCTCTCCTCAGGAGACTTATTCTCCAGACCCCTCACCATCTTCGTTGCCCTTCTCTGGACCTGCTCCAGCACCTCAATGTCATTTTTTATGGTAGGGGGCCCAAAACTGGACACAGGCCTCGAGGTGAGGCCTCACCAGTGCCACAGGCCTCGAGGTGAGGCCTCACCAGTGCCCAGTCCAGGGGGACAATCACCTCTCGGGGCCTACTCGCACAGGCCAGGATGCTGGTGGCCTTCTTGGCCACCTGGGCACACTGCTGGCTCCTGTTCAGCCCACAGGCCACCAACACCCCCAGGTCCTTTTCCATGGGGCAGCTCCAGCCACTCTGCCCCCAGCCTGGATCATCCATGGGGTTGTTGTGGCCCAAATGTAGAACTTACTGAGGGTGCACTCGATCCCCTCGTCCAGATCATTGATAAAGATGTTAAAGAGAAGTGGCCCCAGTACTGAGCCCTGTGGGACACCACTCGTGACTGGCCGCCAACTGGATTTAACTCCATTCCCCACCACTCTCTGGGCCCGGCCTCCAGCCAGTTTTTAACCCAGCAAGAGGATATTCCCATCCAAGCTGTGGGCAGCCAGTTTCTCCAGGAGGATACTGTGGGAGACATTCTGGCTTGTATCAAAAATAGTGTGACCAGCAGAAGTAGGGAGGTGATTGTGCCCCTGGACTCAGCACTGGGGAGGCCACACCTCGAGTGTTGGGTCCAGTTTTGGGCACCTCAATCCAAGAGAGATCTGGAGGTGCTGGAGCGAGTGCAGAGGAGGGCAACGAAGCTGGTGAGGGGGCTGGAAAACAAATCGGATGAGGAGTGGCTGAGGGGGCTGAGGGGAGACCTCATCACTCTCTACAACTACTTGAAAGGACACTGTAGAGAGGTTGGTGCTGGTCTCTTCTCACAGGTAATTAACAATAGAAGGAGAGGGAACGGCTTCAAGCTCCAACAGGGGAGGTTTAGATTGAACATTAGGAAGGAATTTTTCACCCAAAGAGTGGTGTTTAAGGGCCGTTTAGATGCAGTGCTGAGGGACATGGTGTAGGGGAGGACTTTGGAGAGTAGGGGAGATGGTTGGACTCCATGATCCCAAGGGTCTCTTCCAACCTCAATGATTCTATGACTTTATCAAAGGCTTTGCTGAAGTCCAGATAAACAACATCCACAGCCTTTCCTTCATCCAGCAAGCGGGTCACTTGGTCATAGAAGGAGATGAGGTTGGTCAAGCAGGACCTGGCCCCTCATGAACCCCGTGCTGGCTGGGCCAGATCGCACGGGTGGCCCTCATGGCGTCGCATGATGGCTCTCAGGATGATCTGACAGACATCTAGACAACCCCCTCTTGCTCCTGAGACCCCCTCTTTGCTCCCGAGAGCCCCCCCTTGCTCCTGGGACCCCCCCCAACTCTTCACTCACACATCGACGATGAGGACGGAGCGACCCCAACGCCGGTATCGGGCCAGGTCCAGTAGATACTGGGGATCGGCGGTGGGGAGGTCCAAGTTGTCGACGATGTGGAGGTCATCCTGGGAGGAAGAAGAGGAAGAAGAAGAGGAAGGACGGGGGGGAGATGATGAAGGAGATGGGGGGGGTCACCGTGTCCTCCAAAACCCCCCCAAAAAACACCTCCTACCTGCATCAGCTTCACCGTCAAGGCCACCTTCAACCCCAAGACCCGCACCTTCATGGGCAACATGTAGTAGTAGCTGGTGGGACCCCGCGGCCCGTGGGCGATGCCCCCTAAAAGG